ACAGTGCCCGGTCCAATACTGAGAGAATATTGACCGGCAATAGAGCATTTTGATTGGTTGATTTTAGTTATTGGCCCTCTGACTGCCCGAGTCGTGTAATAAGCTTCCTTATTAAAGGGAAACTAGAAAAAGGAGTCTGAACTGCACCTTTACCACTCAGTGATTATTTGTCTCCCCCCTTGTGTTATCGAGTTCATAAAATGATTATTACATAATAATTACCTTGTCACGCTCTGGTGTATGAATAATGAAGTGTTTTTTGTTGGTTTTTGCTGGTTTCACACAAGGACTGCTTAGAGGTACCCCTCCATTATCACACTTCTGTGGCTTAACTTTGGTGCTAGCCGCTGCTGATGTTAGCTTAGATCCATGATCTATAAAATAAAAAAAATTAAAAAATTTAGCAACTTACAAAAAATATGGACATAAATGCAGTATGTCCACTGAGGTTTTAAATTTGATGTGAGTAAGTTGCAACAGGTAATTATCTTGCATGAAAGAAAATGTGACAAAGTTTGGATGGTATAAATAGATTGGTATAAAGTCATTGATTGGAGGAAAAATTTGTTAAAGCGTCAAGCGTCAAGCATCAATTAAAATTTGAAAAAAGCATCAAGTAGGTTTAATGCCTCCTGCTGGTTTAGACAACATGTAAACTACAACTATATGTAGCTTGGAGGCAAGATCAAAGATCACTGAGGATAACAGAGAAGATCAAAATATTTTGCAGAAAACATACTTGAATAAAGTAGGACCAATTTTCCAAGGTGCAAAAAATGTGACATGGTCTTTTAACTGTGTAATGCACCAAGTTGCAACCATCAGATGCCAACATGTTCTGTTTCCTTAATCTTTGCTGCTTTGAATATTACTTCTTGATCACAAAAATCAACAAGTGCTTTGTAATGTAGTGAATTGGTAAATAAGCTATTGAGATATCGCCTTTTCTCATGCATATGGCAAGACTTTGAGACCATTTTGACAGATTCGGTTAATTTCTTGTACATCTGACAACAGCTTACGATTTCTCTGTGTTTGATTCGTGATTATTTAAAAATTCACAGTTTCCTTCAACAAAATGTCGCCAAGATGAAGCTTCTAATTTTATACCATCTGTAATTCAATCATCCATGACGAACGTATTAAGAATTATTTTAAAAACCATTATTGACATAACAGAAAACAACGAAGAAAAAGATAAACAACAATTTTAATGAAAACAGTTCTATGATTGTTTTTGAATCGTGTTATGATAGGTAATCACCTGTCTTTAAATGCGCGCATGTGACAAATTGTTTGTTGATTCATTCAATTCACGTCGCTTAGGACCATTTAAATTGCGCGCAAATAAAGATAAAACCATCTGCGCCGAAAACAAACAGACTGGAAAACACTCGCGTATTTGTAAAGCTATTTCAAAGTGTAACAGAGGTGGATCGAAAAAAATTGTTGCTTAAATACTGCTCTGGTTGTGAAGAAATGTCCACGTAAACCTACAGTATAAAGAAGGTGTAAAATGCGCTCTGACATGTATCTCAAAATTTCATCAACTTATTCATTTTTCAAGCCAAAATCATATAAAACTCCCACACCATGCCACCTTAAACATTTTCCTCACGTGCAAACCTTGATAAGGCGTTGAAGCGTGAGATTTCCTTTCGTGGTCTTTTGCTTTCTCATCACGCTTTTGTCGTGCGCTGTGACCATCAGGCATGTAGTTCGTGAGTCCACATTGCGAGATCCCGCCATCGCCAAAATTCACATGAACAACCTGTGAGCCTGAAACACAAACACGGTTGGCTTCACCGACGTCCTCTTTGAATGCGAAGGTGTGGGAGTAGCATAGAAATACTACAATCAAGCGTGACTCTGAAAAGAAGCGCCACGCCGACATGTTTACGTTTGCACGCACGCAACCCCAGACTTCCTCTGACCTGAGACATTTCATGATCAGTTACACACATGAAGAGATGGACGAGCGTTTTCTTGCAAGCTCTATGAGTATAGCGTCGTTAACGATTGGAAATTGTATTCAGTCGTCTAAACGAGGTCTAATCTTGGGGGTTTGATTAAGTTGTAATATTGATGGATGTCTTTTCGCCTAAGAGGGTAAGTAAAAATCCTTTTACAACACGGGTTTATTCGAATAATTAATACTGTAGCTCGTTGAGTCCAATCTTTCTTTCACTTGACAACGTACACAAATCATATGTTGAAATNAACTATTTGGCTTTCGTGCTGCCGAGTTTTGATTCGAGGGAAAGTATTTAAGTGTTGTTTTCGAGCGATTTTGGCGAGCATGTGTCAACAGAAGTTTCCGACCTTCCCGTATTTTATGCACGGTAATTTAGGGCGTCAAGCTAAAACACATCAAAACGGCCTCAAATCGCGAGGAGAACAACACAGACTACTCTATACGTAGGTGAGACTTTACTTCTTTGATTATTTCACACAACTTTACATTTACGGAGCTCAAAAGCAAGTCCAACTAAACCATTATACAAACTCTTTAATTATTCACTATGAAAGAGCCTGTGACAGAGCTTGGGCCACCTGTGGATAAACTAAAACAGACAGCAAAAGCACGGGCAAAGAAAAGGGAAAAAAAATTTAAATTAACTTTTTTAGTTAAATAGTTGATCGGGGAACTTTTTTGAGTTATTTCTCTTAAGCCTCCCCGTCTGAGCAATGTGGGCTCTTTTTCTAAAAGAGCAAGTTATCGAGCCGGAAAAACACGTGGTGTGTTTAATATTTCATTTGTACTTCTCGATCCGGGAATTCTGGTTGCACCTAGCATAGCCGTTATTGCATCATGTAGAATATAAATCCGTCTTCCTCGTGCCGGTTAACAACTCCCTCAGCAAGATCATATTTTAATCATGGCTACCGAAGGGATTACCAACCAACCAGTTGACGTGGCTAAGAACACAGAGTTCTTGATTCGAATGGCAGAGAGCGATATTCTGATGTTGGCCGAAGATAGCCGGACACTAGAAGATGTCGAATACGTCGTCTCTCAGAGGATGTGGAACTTTAGTTCTGTGTTGGATTACTGTTATTACGATATTCACTGCCATTTTCAAAATGACGGAAAGCACTCATTAGGGTCTGACGTGACAAAGGCAAAAACGCCTTTTGCGCAAAAGTTGAAATGGTCTGCCGATCGCACACAGGACGAGTTTGTGCGTTCAAAACGCATCAAATTTGTAAAAGGGCATTGTACAATTGTGTTTGGAGAACATTTTGAACGTAGAATACCGTGTGACTTTTTAAAGTGGTTTCAGGAAAATTTACTGTCCCTCCAAGCCTTGATAGAAGTGGACAAAGGTGGCCATCCGGTAAAGATCTGCGCTGAGCATGGTCAGCAATGTCTTGGAGATGAGACATGCAATCGCAAGGTTACCAAACTTGTACGTGCGACACGTTTCGATTATGAAACTAATACTCAAAGGTGTTCTGACCCAACAAAGATCTACTGTGAAGAGCTAGACACAGTTTCTAGTATTCCTAAGGATTGGAGCGACACAACTACTTTCAATGTGATGCATTTCCTCAGGAACTTCGCAACACACAGATCTTTACCCCCTCTCTCTTTTAAGAATGGATGGTTTAATTTACGAACAGAAGAGTTCAAAGCTGGAGATGAGTTCGACGGAAGAAACTGCGAATGGGTGTTCATTCCAAACCTGGCTTGGATTTCCATTCCAGATATAAAACATCTCAGGGACGATAACTGCCAGAAGAATCAGTATGTGCGCTTCTTTGATCATCCCCTGGCTATTGTTTGCGCCCGAATATTGGATTTTGTGAAACAACAACGACACAGTTTGTTGCGAATAGTAAACAAGGAAGAGATTGGAAGGATCTCAACACTGGAAAGTGTGATGAGGAAATTAGTTGAACACTTGACGTCACCACACTCGGCAATGGTATTACCAGATTGCCTGTAACTTTTGTTGTGTGGCTTTCACAAAGGGTGTAGCCACATTATGGCACAATCGGATTTATTTATTGTGTGGCTTACACAAATTATGTAGCCACATTGTCGTGACCTGATTTATTTGCCCACGAGAGTCGAGCGCCTGTCACGTGGTCTAATGTCATACGGCGTGCTAGTCTGAGTCAGCCATCTTGGTTGTAAGCGTGGGCTCGACTAATTTTGTATTTATGGGTGAAACACGTCGTCGAAGATCGTTTTTTATCAAGTTATTTGTTCATTTTTGTTCCTTAGGTTTTACACGCCGGCTTTCCTACACTCGGCTTGTCTTCTAAGTGCAGATTACAGGGAGGAGTCTTTTATATACCAACATTGAAACAAATTGTTGGACAATACAAAACGTAGAATGAAGTAGTGTTTTGGTTTATACCCAATTTATGTACCACTAGAATTCACGTGACTAAGCGGTGCAATCACGTTTCACGTGAATCATTTACCAGAGCGTTTTTTTTCCTGAATTTCTGTTCATGTCACCTGCTCTGTAAAAAAATTACTCAACCACATGCTTAAATACAATTTTTAGCCAGTGGGTGAAAATAGAACTTTTGGCAAGAGTTCCATATAACCCCATACATTAAGGTGGCTGAACACAGTTTTTGATACCTTTCTTCTTTCACCATTTTCTCTAAAAACCCTTGATCTCGAGCTCTCGGTTGCCAAAACTGGCAGCAAGCAAGTTAACAACAGAAATTCTTTTCTCGATAGTTAAGCTGACGTATGTGCCGTTGCCATGGCAACGTGAATAGATATAAGCAGGCAATTAAAATCGGTTTTGTTTCTTTGTAGAAAATCTAGTCATTAGATTTTCTTTATAATTTGCATGCAACAAGCTTGTAACGATACTCACAAGTTAACCATCACCATTTTGCTAACAATTTAACAGATCTTTAATTAACAACAAACATATGAAACATATGTGTGAACTGCGGTTATGAGACGTATATGAGAACGATCCTTCGCAGTAAAGCACTATTTGAGCAATAGTGAAAATCAGACCTGAAAAAAATTTCAGGCCTGTACGGGATTCGAACCACTGACCTCTGCGATACTAGTGCAGCGCTCTACCAATTGAGCTAACAAGCCAACTGGGAGCAGGCCATCAAATTAATTCGATATAAACCCGTAGATGATAAATCAAACAACAACAAACATATGAAACATATGTGTGAACTGCGGTTATGAGACGTATATGAGAACGATCCTTCGCAGTAAAGCACTATTTGAGCAATAGTGAAAATCAGACCTGAAAAAAATTTCAGGCCTGTACGGGATTCGAACCACTGACCTCTGCGATACTAGTGCAGCGCTCTACCAATTGAGCTAACAAGCCAACTGGGAGCAGGCCATCAGCCTGAAATTTTTTTCAGGTCTGATTTTCACTATTGCTCAAATAGTGCTTTACTGCGAAGGATCGTTCTCATATACGTCTCATAACCGCAGTTCACACATATGTTTCATATGTTTGTTGTTGTTTGATTTATCATCTACGGGTTTATATCGAATTAATTTGATGGCCTGCTCCCAGTTGGCTTGTTAGCTCAATTGGTAGAGCGCTGCACTAGTATCGCAGAGGTCAGTGGTTCGAGTCCCGTACAGGCCTGAAATTTTTTTCAGGTCTGATTTTCACTATTGCTCAAATAGTGCTTTACTGCGAAGGATCGTTCTCATATAGATCTTTAATTATCCCTTGTTGAAGGTTCACTCAATTTTCTACAGTTTCCTTTGTTTAAAATCAATATTTCCAATACTCCAGTTACTTATTTCCTAAAGTATTTTCGTGCCAAATTTCATGAAATTCTAATGAGTGGTTCTCAAGGAATAGGCATATTTCCAAGAAAGCAATTTTCCATTCAATCACAATTTTTTTACTTACTACGCATGCGCTGCATTTAACTGGGTTCTTTCAGTAATGACGAAATAGCTGAGAATTGTTGGGTTCTTTGTACCATTGACTTTTCTAACATATCTTTGTAATAAAAGATTAAAGCCCTCAATACAGTGTGCCAACTATAGAGAAAAATAGCCTGAGTGCAGATAATGCGGGTACGTGTTGAGTAAATAAAATGACCGCTCTATTGACAGCATGTTTATTTTTTGCAATCCCTGTGCGTGCGCTGAATTGCATCAGCAAAAGTGTGCGCAAAAACTGTTTTCAGCCACCTTAATTATGCACAGAGTGTGGCAAAGAAACCTTTATATTTAGTCTTTATGAAATGAATGCATATTTAATGTATGGGGTTATATGGAACTCTTTCTGGAACTTTTTGTTGCCATTTGAAAATCAAACTTTGTTGTTGTATGGAAGTTCAAATTACATGACGGCCTCTTCAAGTGAAATTATTCTTTCATGTTTACATAGCTAAACTGATTCACAAACGTCTAAAGATTTACCTAAAACTGTGGTTTGTCATTAACTTGAAAACCTTGGTGCTAAATGTCAACTATGATTGATTCCAAACTTTGAGGAAGTAGTACATTGACATTCAGTAACAAAGTGCTTTCGCCTATATTAAAATACGAATAGGAAGAAGTTTAATGTCTCCTGCATCCAATAATTAGTTAATTTGGTTAGGCAGGGGACGTTAAAAAACCCACTCACAAGATTACTGTGATGTGGACTGGCCTGTTTACTGGGAATTGAGGGGAGGGGGCATCTGTTAGATTTGCCTTTATTTGATTGTAAACTGCTTAGCAGTCTGGTAAAGTCCCCTGCACAGTGTTGTAAAGCGCCATGAGCTCAGGATATGAGTGCTATATAAATAAAGTTATTATTATTATTATTAAATGTGATTAGTATTATGTTTTCCAAATAATTCCCAGAATTCATGACTTCCTGTAAATTCTAAATTCTCTTCATAATGGTTCAGATGAGCATTGATATTTAACCTTGGTAGCAATACATGTGTATCAGGCCTTTATTTGGTAGACTACAACTCTTTTTTTGGTTACCTGTTTGGTTTGGTTAATTCATCACAATACTGATATACATGAAAAATAACACTCTTGATTGGCTGAAAACAGCTAGGTGCCTTTTTCATGTATGCATTCCTGAGTAAGATTTCAGCTGAAGGACAAATTTTATTTATTTATTAACTTTGCCAAGCAACAACAATCAAAATAAATGGATGAAAAAATGACAAAAAATGGAAAAACATAGATTAAAAAAATATATAAAAAAAATGGCAGGGACACCACAACAGCATGGCCAATTACAGCGGGCCCAGAATGTAAAAGAAAATAAGACAAAAGAAGGGGAGAAAGGAAACTATCAATCTACATGCAACAAGTAATCTTAGAATTTAGTGGACAGACACTATTACATTTTAAACAAATAGACTTGAAGGTTTTGGGATTATTTAGATCATAGGAGATAAGTAAACTGGCCAATTAGTACTTAAACTTTACGGTTTTGATAGCATGTCAAGTTGACCATTTACATGATATCGAGTTCAGCTTTTCATTTCATGTCTCCACATAGCTTGAATTCAGGAAACACACTGGCATGAAATAATATCAATAATAAGAAAACTTGAAAGATTATGGTACTTTAAATTATATGGTACCATCATGCACTTGCCTGTACATTGAACTCTGCCAGTTGTGTTTAAGTTATGTCTCTGATTACTGTTCCTGAAATCTATTATGGTGAGACTTATCTCGATTGAAGTTTCTGTTAAATAAAACATCCAGGTCAAATTGAGAATCTTATTGGGTTAAAAATTATTAGCAGTTTTAATGAAATGTTACTTCAAAGTACTACCTAACATATGATTCATTAAAGTATTGCTCTTCTTCTGATCTTGTTGTGCATGTATCTTTTTTCTCTAGATTCTTCCATTCTAGATTCTTCCAATTATTCCCGAATACATATGTTGAAAAATATTTTTAATAAGGTACAATTTGAGCCATCTTAATTTGCTTTTAGTTGTTTCTCATTAACTGTTATCATTGAGAAGTTAAGAATGGTAATGTGAACATATTACATTATTCTAAATGTTTTAAAATGACTTCTGAAATGATGAACAAAAACTTTGTGGTTCAGGCAGAGGCAGATTAATTGAAACAATGTAAAGGCCAAAAAAATTATTCGCTAAAATTACTTTAAAATTAAGCTTATTTAGTACTTTGACATTTTAAATGACAAGTTTCAGTTACTGCAGAAACGGAGAACTCATAGTTTGTGGTTAAGATTACCAAAATCAGTTAAAGGCAATTAATGGCTTTAAAAATAGTTCTTAATCTAGGAAAAAAATTGACACTAATTAAGTGACATGACAGCTAAAATGGCATGTTTTACTTCTTTTGTGAATGGAGATATGTAACATTTGCATAAATCAAAGGTTAGTTTGATGTATTTGCCACAAGATTTCTTACTCCTTTTTAAATGGACTTAAGGATTTGGCCAGTAGAGATTGCTGAGCTTGAAAGGTCTGGCTGTATTCTAACTTATTTCCATTTTTATGAATTAAGATTTATTGTCCTCAATGATACAGGATCAAAAGTGAGATATTCTTATGATTCTTTTTTCTGCAAGCTTAGACTGATGTTAGGCAGTTGATACAAAATTGTGGCAGTTCTTATTTTTAGCTGAAGAATAGAAACATACAAGAATTTGTCTGGCTTAATAGGGTAGCAAAATCAGTAGGTATTTTTTTATAGCTGAAGAAATCTTTGATTTATAATACTTAATGAACACCTTCAGGTGAAAAATTTAAATTGGGCAGGTGCATCNACTACAAATGCCAAACAGCCAACATGCATATGATCTATTCAAAAAATTTAATATTTCTTAGTTTATATCAAATACAAAGTAACATTATCTGTTCTTTCACACTGACAGAAGTTCTTAACATTGTACTCTATCTTTCATCTTACCTACATGTATCCAGTGTTCTTGGTGGTTACCTTTCTCCTCTGAATAATCTGTTTCAGGTTAAATTTTGCAACTTTTTCAATTAGAAGACAACTCTCTTTTGCTTAATATTTAATCTATTCAGTAACCATTTTGAGAGTAACTCTGTGTGTGTGTTCTGTTTTTTATGCCTGAGTAGTCTTCATCTGATGAGGGAAGTAATGGGAACTTTGCTGGTCATAACATGCTGTTAGTTGATCTCCCTCCATCTTTTGCTTCTTCTGATGCTGATGACGGTACAAACCTTAATCTGGTAACACCTCTTCCTTCTGTCTGTGGATCCTCTGGCTAATTATCATCTCCATTCATAGTCTGTGGAGTTAATCTGCTTGTTATATTTGTTGTTAGTTCTCTTCCATGCTCTGAGGCTTTTTTCCAGGTCATCCAGTTTTTCTCCCTTCACAATAACTGATTTTCCTAATTTTAATTTGACCTGGAAACAGTGGACAAGAAGAGTCACCTAGTGGAATGTCCACCTTTAAATTCCCACTATTCTTATAGTTATTATTATTATAATTATAATTGTTTCCAGCTCATTTCTCTGCCTTGAGAGGTTCTTCATCAAGACCAACCCTGACTTTCTTACTGCAAAATTCCACAGAAACTTATAAATCATCTCTCTGAGAATCTACTGGACATGAAATGAATCTGCCAATCTGCCAATGTAAACTTGTCTCTAGATTGCCATAGAAGTGGGAGAATCAAGTAATATTTAATTCTTCATTCAGTTTTAAGCAGATCATCTTTTCTAGGAGTTGTATTTAAAAGCGTGTGGAAATGAGGGACTGGAAAAATCAGGGTTTCTGAAAAGTGTCTTCTCTGAGTCACATTTCTGATTGACAAATATTCTCAAAATTAAGGTTCCAGTGCTGAGTAATAAAGGATGGGGGGTTAAATTTAATTTTGATCTTTTAAACAGGAGGTCAAACAGGGAAGGCGGGCTGTACAGAATACCCAACCTCAACAGGACGCTGACGAGGATGTTTTAGATGCAGCTCTTGGAGACATAGCGACTGAAAGTAACAGTGCATCAGCTGCCATAGAAAATGATCAGGTTTGTTAATGCTGACACAGATACAGATTAAGAAATTACTAGGGATTTGGGGTAGGGGGCTCAGGGCAGCTTTGCACCATCATTTGGGGTAGGGGGCTCAGGGCAGCTTTGCACCATCATTTGNGTTTCACAAACGAGCTATCTCGAAAATCTGATTTCTTTTATTTGCCTTCATAGTGTGCAAGTGAACAGAGTGGCTACCTACAAAGAACTGGATAGTTATTTTCAGAAACAATCAGCACTCTTCAACGTTAACTTACTGGTGAGTGTTTTTTAAAGATCAGGAAGGGTAGAAAAATCTGGGTTTCAGGAGGGGAGGGAAGTTCGAGGCAGAGAACCTGAAACCATGCAGCAGTATTCAAATTTAACGTAGAGGATTATACGAGTGCTTTTTTCACGCAACGGATGTACTTTCGTGGTAGAGTGAACCGGGAAATCCTCAGATATCTTAAAAATGGGAATTTGTTGAACTAGTTTTATTTTCAATTCCAAGCAGTCCTTGCGGTGCTAATTTCTGCCCCCGTACGAAAAGAAGGGAGTATTTCTAAATTTTCGTCTCTGTTGTCTTCGTTAGCAGTCGTTTTAGAATTAACACTGAAAACTCGTGCCATCACGTCAGTCAATCAGATACAAAACTCACACCAATCCCAACCTGGTTACTGGCGTTGTTCCGCACCTACAAAACTCACACCAATCCCGACCTGGTTACTGGCGTTGTCCCGCACCTACAAAACTCACACCAATCCCAAACTGGTCACTTGCCTTTTTCCGCGCTTACAAAACTCACACCAATCCCAACCTGGTTACTGGCGTTGTCCCGCAGCTACAAAACTCACACCAATCCCAAACTGGTTACTCGCGTTTCCCCGCGCCTCGAGGTAGCCGCCTGTTTTCACTTGGAGTTCTCATTGGTTAATGATGTAATCCTTTCTCTGATTGGTGGTTGTGTTTACTTCGGTTTTAGTTTAATTGAAAACTGTTCTTGGCTATCTATTTTACTGGACTTGATTTATTCCTAGAAATGGAAAACTAACTAACATTGCAATTTTCTGTTTTGAATTTGAAGGATGGCGAGATCGACCTCAAACTTCTCACGAACGTTTTGTCACCAGAAACGGAGGTATTTGAGGTAGGACATAATGGCCATGTTTACACACTATTAGTTGTTAGGCACAATGTTGAAGTTGCAAGTGTAGCGCTACAGAAAAAGCAGTAATTTGTGCCACTGAAAGAACTTGAGTAAATGTTCTTTCAGAATCCTGCGATCAACCTAGTCAATACCACGGTGCTGGCTGACTTAAGGTCAATTGGTTTTTTTTTGTATGCAAATGAACTATGACTGTAAAAGAAATTTAATCGTTTGTCTCAACATCACAAACGACATATATTTCTCTTTTGAAGTGTTATTTACCACGATGACCGACCAAAACACTATTTTACGATATAAGAGGCATTGTAGCCGAACAGTTACCGCGCCGGACGTGTATGCGAAAGGCATGGGTTCGAGACCTGGGTATGTAAGGCGCTCGAAAGTGTGTTGAGTTGTGAGGAGAAATTCATTTTTGGTCACTCTTGGGCGTGTAAGGGTTCAATTGCTCTCTTTTCTATTATTTTATCCCATAGGAAGACAAACGGTGGGACTGGGACCGACTCTTCACTGAAGTTGCGTCTGAGCTGCAAAGTGAGTGGAACACCGACAAAGAAACCGAGGAAGTTGAGGAAACCTAGAATAAAATAACGTACTATAATGATAAAGAATAA